AAACGGGAAGTTTCGTATTTTAAGTGCTACTTGGGATCCATGCTTTGGTCTTTTGAGCTTTCGTGTACCAAAGGAGTTTATAAAAAATTGTTCTACCGAAACTATCTATTGTAAAAAACCTCTATTTTTCTACAGGTCTTCTTTGACTGGGTAAGAGATTGCTGAAATATTTTTTTATTTTTTTTTCTTAGAAATTCGAATTTTGCGTAATGAACGAGGAAAAGTACGTTTTGGCGGATTCTTCTCATTTTCCAGGACGAGAATTTCATACAGCCGATTTTCTAGCAAATGCAGTAGAAAAACTGAGGGCAAGAAAGGTTGCGGATAGTCCAAGTTAATCCTTGTTTGACAGTCTGTCAGAACTTTTAGCAAAAAAAAATCAGCTCCTTTGCGACATCGGAACAATCAACATTGAAGGAGTGAGGTCATCACACATCAGACTTAGAAAAGAAGGCATTAGTAGATTGTTTAAACAAAGCCAGAATAAGAGAACTGGGCTCTGGTTAAAAGCGAAATGAATGTCACAAAAAATGTAACCATAGACATTCAAAACTTTGAAAGAAAGTGGGCTTTAGCAGCTGTGAGGGTGCGCTAACTGGCGGGGTTCCAGAAATGCCAAAACTTCCTACTAAAAAAATATATTTTGTTTCTTTGCCACTTTATGCGAATTTGTGGTTATTTCTTAAAATGAAATGCTTTTGGTTTTGGAAATCTAGAACTGGTTGGAAATATATCATTTTTTGTATGTCACAATTTTATTCGGCGCAGTCTTTATAACCAACCAAAATTCCTCTTAAACTACCAACCTACGAAGACTAAAAATCGCACAAACGGCAACACTGCACGCTGCAGTTATTCGAGCTTATGAAGTTTTATTGCAAATTTTTCTAGATTATTGTACTATATCCTGACATGGATGGTAAATCTCGTTCAATTTGCATTTCTATATGTAAATATATTTATGTACAATACTTTATAAATTTATGTATGTAGCTAAAGGATCGATATCATCCTACATTGGCGCTATGCAAGTGACATTTCGCTTCGGAACTGCCAATGCTGATACATATCTTTGCTCTGATGGTTTTGTCGATAGTATGTACTAGCTCAAACGTTTGGCTATAAAATTCAATTGTTGCAATTTTTACTACGCGTACAAATGACAGCTACAAAAACAACAGCGATGACACTGAATATCTGTTTCTGACTGTATGCATTCCGGTGGCATTTTCTTGTACGTTTATTTCTAAGAATGGTTTCTTTTTTTTTTGCAATTCTTTTACGATTCAATGCTGCAAGTTCTCTGAAATGGAGCACAATTCGATTTGCGTTTGAATAGAGTGTCCTTTTCTGAAGTTATTGCACTGTCATTGCGTTTATTCGTTTACAACAAAGAGTTGATTTCAGTTTGATTTGTCGAAAGTGTTATTCTTGGATAGTAAAAGAGCTTAAAATGCATAGCTTCTTTGGTTGTATTAAATATGGAACAACGTTTTGGCAATGCTTTTATTGTAAACTTGTCTAAGCCCACGAGTCTCAACTTTCAGGCTTCACAAGAATATCAAGCCGTGCGGTTGGTTTCCTATTGGACAGAGCCCATTTTGAGCTTCTGCTTAAACCGAAATCTGCCGCTTAGCTATGTACATAACTAAAAACAAAAGCTCTCTCTTTACCCTTCGTGTTCTTGCAACTTGCATGTCAGCGTTTTCGCCTAGCGCTTGCTGGGCCGACTAAAAGCCCATCTGTCCAGCTGCAGTCCGCACAGATTGCCACAGAAGCTCCCAAAACGCTCCCTGCCAGGAGAAGTGACCTCAAAGCTAGACGGCCTTGGAACTCAAAACAGCCTTATTTATTCGGAAGTAATCCGAGACGAGTGTGAGAGAGGCTGTTTCGAGGGCACCATAAGCGCAATTCTAAGGCTTCTAAAAGTATACAAATTTGGTGAAAATTTGTCGAATTTTTATAATTTTTCTGCATAAAGTTTGAAAGGGGGATTTATATGGTGATTGTTGTATAACTAGCCATGCTTTTATAAAAAAATATTAAACATGAAATAAACCATGGCGATGTAGCCATAACTCTTCAAAGTAAGGCGAGTCTATTATTTCTGCCGCCAGTGTATAATTGTGTAAACTTTGTAAAATAACTGTCTAAATTTCTGCGGAATTTCGCTTACATATTTCTGATAAATTTCTGCAACGATTTCACTCAATAATCTAGATAAACTGAAGCCAATGCAATGGGGCGTTTATGTTACAGAGCGCTTAAATTTATAAGAATATCTGCTTGCTAAAGTTATCGGTTTAGGTGAATACCACTAATATTTTTCAACCAACAAATAAACGGAGCAAAAAAATGGGAATAGGAGTGTGTTTTTTGTAGCAAAATGTTTTTCTTTACGTTGACACATATCTAATTAACTGACAGCTTTGACACAGCATGAGTGCAGCAAAATTACTATGCAAACAAATATATAGATATTTGTGCATATGCGCGTACTATATCTCCTTGTATTAACGCCAAAACATTCGTTCATATGTAAACATATGTAAGCATACAAACATGTATGTAACACATTAGGGTGCCCCCCTCCAAAAAAAAAAATATGTTTTCCATGGGAATTATAAAAGTTATTATATTTTAACACTCCTGCCAAAGTATTTCGGAAAAATATTAATATTTGCGGGAACTGGACCGATTTTAAAATACATACAAATTTTTTTCCAAAAAATTACTTCTGATTATAGAAGACTTTGAGCTTAAAAAATATGCATACAAACTTAAAAAAAAAAATTATAATTCCGATTTTGTTTTTTTTTTATTTTTGATGCACCTTAATGTAAATTGATTGACATATTCGATTGGTGTGTACATAGAAATACTTATAGCTGTTTCGCGTACATTGGGCTAAAATGTAATTTGCATATGACTTCATTAATTCTAGACCTCTATCTGCCGACTGCGACTCGTTACGTTGCTAACAAAACAAGTGTTTCTAGTGAGTTCTAGTGAAATTACTATAAATATAAAAGTTGATGCACAGCATTGACCGCGACCGCCCACGCGCGTACATACAAAAAATTTGCAAGTGTTGCATATCATTTGCTTGAAAATTCAAACAATGCGTCATGGTTGTAATTAACATTTTTTGCGGGTAGAAGCAACCAATTCAGATATGTATACTATGTATGTACATGTGTATGTTTATAAGCTGCAGAAGGCCTTAGTTAGTTAATTAAATAATTTTGGGTAGCAAAATACGGGACACTAGGACTCTAAATATCTTTTATATCCTAAAAGGAAGTCTTTGTATACTTTGATAAATCCTATAAGGACCTTGGTAGGCGCATACCTTTTTATAGAATGTTTGACTGCAAATGCTTCAAAATGAACCGGACAATCACAACAATTTTTTTTTTTTTTGAAATCTCATCGGTTTTAAGGCAGTAACGGCATAGTTACTTTGCGGTCACACAAATCTGGTGCATATAACAAAGAAAATGGTGGTGCCCAGTTGGTTACCCGGAGAGCAACTTGCTATTCGGTTTGTTTAATAGAAAAATCTTCCTATCAAATGGATGGCCAAAAAGGCTTCGCACCTTAATACTTTTTTTTAATACTTACGACGTGCATAGATTTGATAAAATGGTTGGAGCGGCCACCTTAACCCTTTTAAAGATTTAATTCAACCTGAAATGCCGTAGTCAAGTTGTCCGTTAGAAATGAAATATTGGTGACATTCGCTTTGTCAACGTCATGGAACGCGTTTGCCCAATCCAGGAATTTCACTAGGAACTTTCTGATAAATTTAAAAGATATTGATGCAAGAATTATCGAAATCGGTTCAGAATTTCGCCCATAAACTACATACATATGTACATATAAAAAATTTTGAACTGTAATCGGACGATCTCCTAGCTAGACAGAGGCTATTTTATAGTTCACATTCTTGTACCACTCCACGCAATTACATACTATCGTTATCGCTTGCGAACTGGTAAAATATTTAAGAACTTATGGCCAGTTTTAAAGTTACCATAATTTTATGTTATGTGACCAAAAATTTATGTCCAGTTTTTTAATCACCAAAAGATTAATATCCAGTTTAAAAAAAACGGCATTTTTAGCTAGTTTAAAAATAATCGACAATTATGTACATACGTTCAGTAGGTATTTAAATATCCAAACATATATGTCCAGTTTTAAAATTGACGAAAACTTATGTCCAGTTTTCAAATCACCAAAAATGCCAAAGTTTTTTGAGGTTTTAAATTGCCAATAATAATTTATATCATCCAGTTTTATTTATCTAAACATTTTATTTTGTCAATTACTTAAATTACCGAAAGTTAACTTCCAGCTTCAAAATGCCCAAACTTGTGGGTCCAGGTTTAAAATAGCTAAAAATTATGTCTAGTTTTTGAGATGACTAGCTTTTATATACAGTTTGTTGATTGTAAAAATCTTGCATACGTCCAGTGTTCAGCTTTCTATCAATCTGGGTATCTATGTACAAACATATGCATTCATATGCATTACCGGGACCGAAATTCGGTTCGTTTTTTTAGAATTTCTATTACTAGTAACAAAAATATGGTTCATTATGCACTAAAAAATCTGTGCGAAAGTCCACCGAAGTTCATAAAATTTCGATGTGCTCATTTTTTACGAAAAAGGATAGCAAATTATATAGGGCTAATACTTTACTTTACCTGCAATTTTAGTAAAAAAAATTCATTCATTTACTTATTTTTTTAGGGTGAAAAATAATTTATAAATTACTAATTATATAGGAAATTAAATTACTCACAAAAACCACTTTTTGTGAAGAAAACAAACTTACATTATGTCCTTTTACTAAATTTTATTAAACTTTGAGGGGCACACAAAAAAAAAATACAACTATGCACGCTAGCAGTTAAGTCGCAGCAAACAATTAAGGCCTTAATTAAATAAACGAAACCACTGAACTTGTCTCTGTGTCCGTAATGAAATTGTAGTTCAAATAATCGGGCAAATCGTAGCAAACCAAAAACAAACACAAAAACCAAACAAAGCAATCAATTAACAAGTATCCGCGGTCGCGGGTGAATTGATGAGCAAGTAAGTGACACAAAATGAATATGCCAAATGAGGCGCGACGTTGCTCATACGCCAGGGAGTACGAATTGTACAAAGATTTGTTAGCAGCCAACATTTACACAAAGTCACAGGATACAACAGCGGCAATTCGCTACACACAAAGTCCTGACTGTACCACAGAGGCACGCTTGGCGACAGCAGCGGTAGCAGCAACAACAACATCAATAAGCAACAGCATTGCCGAAGGTGGCAATCAAATGGAAATTTGTGATCAAAAAGCGATGGTCAAATTGACAATGAAAGTTCAGCAGAACAAGCAGTGCAATGAAACCGCATCCACTACAAAAACAGCAACCGCAACAGCTACTGCAGCAACAACACAAACACACACACGCACACAACAACTTGCCTCCAGCTATAATAATATGCCACTACAATTGAGCGATGGCGGAAGTAGTGACACTGATGATGATGACGATGATGATGATGACGAGAATGTTGTTGTTGAAGGGCACTTCAGTCACCACCACCACCACCAGCAGCAGCAGCACGACTACCATTACAACGGCAACCACAACTCAGTATCAGACAATGATGCAAATGACGTTGGCCTTGCCGCTGCTGCATCGTTAACCACGGCGGCACAAGTGTGCGACGACAGCGCGGGTATCGAGGAGTTGAGTGCTTCGCTGGCGACAGCAGATATTACGCAGGCCTCGAGTTTCGATGATGATTGTTATGTACTACAAACGCAGCCAGCAGCCCAAATTGAGTGAGTGCTTTGTTCAAAAGAAAAAAAGTAGTTTTAAGGGAGGGTAGAGAGGACGGATTAATTTCCATGTTGATGTCGGGAACAATGAGGGTTTTGCTGCTGTTTCTTTTCTACCGAAAAAGTTTGCCTTTTCAGTGCCTTCTTCGCACAAATATTAAGGAGAGCGCAATGAAAGGTCAACATTTTGTGTAGAAAACAAAACGCCATTAGTATGAATCGAAACTGATCGGCATGTATTGATGTACATACATACATATCTATATATGTATGTTGCTATGGACACACATTTGTATGTGTAGATTGTACATATGAGACTAAGTGAGTATGTATACCTCATAGGTTTGTAAACAACGTCTGGACAATGCTAACTATTTTTGTTTTGCGGTGAGTGACCTACAATAAATACCAACGCGTTTGAAGAAGTTCTAATTACTTGATTTTTTTTTTTTTTTTGTTTGTCTGGTTAACATAGTTACCGTGTTTTCATGCACGTGTAGACACATGTGTGTTTATATTCATGTTCTTGCACAAGGACTCACGCCGAAGGTTATCCCATTGCTTGCTATTTACTTATTAGGTAACCATCAACCAACAATTTGAGGTTAGCACACATGTAGACGGCACATACATTTTTTTTTTTGTGATAATCAAGAGAGAATTCTAGTATCACATAACAATTATAAGCGAAGATTTACCACCTGCCTTTGTCATCAAATGTTCAAAAGGTCAATGGCAAAATATTACAGTACTTTGAAAAGAATTTGGTGTCATGGAAACTTTCTTGCACCTGTTAGCAAGTGTTATTATTCTTCAGACCTATTCTGCGTTGGTAACAAACATTTTGTTACCGGTAAATAAAGTTCCTGGTAATTTTTAAACTTTTTTTCTGCGTACTGGTAAATTTTGTTACCATCTCAACAACAGGTAACAAAATATTGTCCCATGAAGTATGCAACACCAGAATTTATACAAGATTTCATAGCTGAATTGTTGAATAGATTAAATTGTTACCAGAAGTGGTGTTATTTTTTGCTAACAAAATTTTCCGTGTCAAAATGTTCGGCAACAAGCAGAATAGGTCTGTTAGTCTCCGCCGTCACAGTAGTTAATGAGATTTATACCGCCTACTATTTATGCACAAAGTTTCATCAAATTTCCAAGCTGTTTCAATTAGGGTAGGTTATAGTGGTTGCCACAGATAAGGGATAGGTTATGTTTTGGTAGCAAACCCGCGCAGGGGACTCACTTAGACATTTAATTGTCCATTGTGGTACCACATTAAAATTACGAGAAGCGCTGAGTGCTCACAACAAAGTTCCGCACACACCTGATGTCCACTCTGGAGAGCCCCTCAGGAGTGTTGATGAAAAGCGCAACGAGGTGCTTAAACCCGGGAAGTTGAGTAGGAAGCGCTGAGATGATTCCACCTTGTCTTCCGGACAACTGCGGCAGTAGGGTCGCACCGCGTGGATTCCTATAAGACAATGTCCGGTAAGTACACCTGTAAGAATCGAGAAATGGCGCGAAGCCCCTAAGTAGCTCCCTTTTCCACCCGAGGTCCACAACCGGCCATTAGGACCTTGACACTTTGCCCATCTGTCCAGGAGCAGACTGCAGATTTCCAACGGAAGTCCTGTACCCTCCGCGATGGCCTCGAGAGTGCCCTGCCTAGTCAGTTTATCAGCCCTGCAATTTCCAGTGATATCACTGTGGCAATTGAGAGAGAGGTCAGGCATTGCCCGTCCAGTTTTGAACACATCATTAGCGAACCCAGCGTCCTGATTGCCGCCCGGCTATCAGTGTACATATATATTTATCCTCCTTGTCGACAATACATTGGTGCATAGCCAATCGGCTGCCTCTTTTATAGCGTCCACCTCGGCCTGAAAAACGCTGCTGAGATCCGGCAGTCCTAACGTAAGATCTACTGAGAGTTCCTGACAGTAGACACCTCCTCCATCTCTCCCTTCCAGCTTCGATACGTCCGTGAAGATGTTTATTGGACCTCTTCCCCAGAGACTACCCTTCTCCCATTCGTCCCTTGGAGGGATGTCCGGTCCATTTCTTCCGGCAGCAAGTCGAAGCTTCCAAGAATTGTCGATTGCCCGAGCGCTGGGTTGAAAGAGATCCCAGAGATTTTGAGCCTAATGGCTGAGCGAACCGCCGCTACTTTGCCCGCAGTGTCGACAGGTGCGACGTTGAGCCTAGCATTTAGCGCTAGAGTATGAGTGGTCCGGAGCGTCCCGCTGATTCCAACGAGGGCCACCTTTTGCACGCGCTCTAGCTTCCTAACAAGAATGGTATTTTCCAGTGAACTCCACCAGACAATGACCTCATATAACATTATTGGCTTAATAAAGGTTTAATATAGCCAGTGCATCCGTTTTGGAGAGAGGCCCCATCTCTTCCCCGTGACATTCTTGCAGCAGTAGAGTACCACCGATGCCTTTTTACTTGTTCCTCAATATTTGGTTTCAATGATAACTTCCCATGCAGGATCACGCCCAAGAACTGGACCCTGTCAGAGAGAACAAGTGAAACACCCCCTATTGAGGGGAGCTTGTACCTCCTGGGAAATAGAACCAGCCGCTCGTCGCTTTGCCGCTCATTGCGTGGCTTCGGTCTTACTAAGTAGATCTCGACTCCGAGCTTCGTAAGGACTCTTATTATCGCCCCAAGAAAGACATTATTGAAAGCCCCTTCGAAATCAAGCAAGGCACCTTCTACGAAATCTTTGTTCTTAAGAGACTCCTCTATGATCTTGACAATTGAGTGCAGGGCAGATTCCACTAGATAATTATTTTTAGTGAATTAAAAACTCGATATCAATTTTCGGTGATTTAAAAGCTGGAGATAAACTTTTGCGAATTTCAAAAATTTACATAATTTCTGGACGATATAAGACCTTATACTATCTTTTTTGGATATGTAGAAAGTGAACTTCATTTTTTTGTAAACTTCCAGACAATTTTTTTTTTTGCAATTTAAACCTGGACATAATTTTTTCGTAAGATAAAAATTGAAATACATTTTTTTGGTAAAAATTGCATATAAATTTTTGGTGAATTAAAAGCTGGAGGCAATTTAAAAAATAGACGTAATTTTTTGGAATTTTGCTATAAGTTATCGTTAATTTCAAAACTAGACCTAAATATTTGGCGATTAATAAGCTGAACATATTTTTGGCAGCTTAACTGAACATAAAATTTTGGAAGTATCAAAACTATACATAATTTTTTGCTATTTAAAAAGTGGGCATAATTGTTAGGTAATACGCAAAAACATGACCAAAGGTTTAAATGAACAACATTTTCTTTCGTTTTCATATTACTAAAAAATTATGTCCAATTTTTACTTTCAATCGTGCGAATGTATAAATTCTTTTTAATATATGGAGTTGTCATAATGCCCTTTATAACTATAATATGACATGACTAAATTTCAAACATAAATTATTTTTGAACATATTTTAAAGAACTTGGAAGACATTCAAAACACACTGCTGCTACTAAAATAAACAAAATTGCACTAATTGGTATTGAAATTGTGAAAGGAATATACACATACGAAAATTGCAGCCTTGGGCCAAGGCCAAGTGCAACCGCGTCTCACCTTGATAATGAATTGTCCACGAAATATTGAAATTTATTTTCGAATGAGATGTGAAACTGCAATAAATATTTCGAAAATAAATAAACTAAGTGCATTTTGCAATTCAGGCGGTGGCAATCAATTGGAAGCCATTAAATGCAAACAGTCCGATCGCAAGGCACTAAAACGTATACACATAAAACTTAATGAATATTTAATTAAACCACAAAATGTCCACTTTGTAGATTCAGATATTCTATCATAAAAATAAATATTAAAATATATGTATGTCATAAATATTTAAATTATGCAGGTGAACGCCATTAAGGCCAATCTCGAGCAGCGCGTGGCATTTATTTAAGTTTTTTTTACGTCTGTGATTTTAGCCAAAAACAACACTCAGTTTTTTTATTTTTTTATTTATTTTTTATTTTTTTTGTTGTATTCTAGTTCTCAATAACGTCACGTCGGCAATGAAGACGAAAGCACAAAAAAAAAAACGTTGGCAACTGTTGGTGGCGGCGGCGATTAGCTTGGCGCACAGCTGAATTGCTGACACAATTGTTGCTGACGACAGCAGTGGATTGCCGATTATTTTATTGCCAGCTTAACAACATTAGAATTTTTATGGTTGTTTTTTTTTTTCATAAAATACTTAGCGCACTTGCCAATTGAATAATTATGCACTTTTTTTGTTAGTGCCGGGATGAACCAAAAAATTCGCCAACTAATTGAAAAATATTTTCTTTTTGGTATTTTTCGATGTTAGCTTTTTCTGAGCTGCCTTTGGCATGACAAATCAGAGTCATTCGTTTATTTTTAATTTTGATTGAGATTATTTTTGAATTTTCACAAACTATTTTTAAACTTCTTGCTGCCGCAGAAAGCCAAAATATTTATACATGTATGTATGCACACACATACATGCATACAAATGCCGTTGTGCAAAAATGTGTGGGACAGCTGGTGAAAAGTATCTCGCAGTTTTGAGCTCATTTGGCTGCCATGCGGCGAACGCTGGGCGCTTTACATAAATATATGTTCATACATACATATGTATGTATTTAATTTTTTTTTTTAGAAATGGTTGTGATTTATTTGTTTGTTTTTGCTTGTTGTGTTTCAAATTTGCTAAATAATTTTTTCAGATTATTTACATCAATTAAATGAAATTTTGTATTTTAGCGAGTTTTATTTCCTCATAAAAAAGTTTGAGCGCAACGCAAAATCCAAACAGATGGCGTGGATGACAATTTTTTATTATTTTATTTTGATTTTATTTGTAGTTATAGTTAAAACGTAGTATATTATTTTTATGATCAAAATTGTGTTTTTAACAAAAAAAAATTGTTTTCGTATTTTCTAAATTTATACTGTCAGCAATTGCAAGTTATGTGTGCGTATTAATT